GGTAGTTTTGAGTGAGATAAGCTATGTTGTGGAACAAGAATACCCTCAAGTGATCAAGATAAGATAAAACCAAGGAAAGTTTATCTCTCCTCAACCCCCGAGAGAAACCATTCACCTGCCCTAGGATTCACCCTGCCCTAGAATTCAACGAAAACCCTTACCTTAAATTTGCAGCAGTAGCTCTTATTCTGAGAGCATCGCTGCACCTCCTAGACAAGGGAGAAAGCAGCTTCAATAAGGCAGAACTTTGCCTAAAACAGGAAGTTGGTTGATTTCAGGAGAAACTTATCTGTTGCACCCAGCAGGGGCATCCAAGTTGGGGGAACATGATAGATTCCTTGCATGAAGGTTGAAACCTGCTCAGATTGGTCCAGGGTGACCAGGGAGGTCACTCTGAAACACTGATGACTAGAGGCAGAAATACTTGGATAAAGGTTTATTGGAAGCCAAAGGTGAGGATCAACCCAGGAAGACGCACCAACACATTTGGATGTGTACCAGAATCTTTTACAAGTTGGAATGTTTTTATAACAAAGTTTAGGAGAAGGGAAGGGAACTCCTCATATCAGAATTGTCTGTTTTTATTGGAGGGTATAATACAGAGGTCGTAATGATTGGATACAGATTATAACATACAGGCTAAAACATTTTGTATGTAAAACCATCAGTGAAACTTTCTAAGACTGGGCACGGTGGTTTATGCCTGTAATCCCAGCACTTTGGGAGGCTGAGACGGGCAGATCACTTGAGGAGAAACTCATCACTCCTGAGGTCAGTAGTTTGAGATCAGCCTGGCCAACATGGTGAAAACCCGTCTCTACTAAAAATACAAAAATTGACTGGGCATGGTGGCACATTCCTGTGATCCCAGCTACTCAGGAGGCTGAGGCAGGAAGATTGTTTGAACTTAGGAGATGGAGGTTGCAATAAGCTGAGATTGTGCCACTGCACTCCAGTCTGGGTGATAGAGTAAGACTCTGTCTCAAAAAAAAAAAAAAAAAAAAAAAAAAGAAAAGAAAAAAGAAAAACTTTATGATTTATAAATATATCAGCACCACTTCATGGTTTAGAAACAAAGGATTGTGCTTTTCCATATCAGTGGAAAATCAGAGAACACAACAGTTAGAAGAACTCATAAGATCTGAGTAATTAAAGATAAGATTTGAGAACCTCACAAGATTCTTTACTCAGGAACAGGATGTAACCCATGCATCAAGAAATCTTTCCTGGGGGTTAATTGGGAAGCCTGCCAGATGTGACCAGTAGGTTATCAGCGGAGACCTCAGACCTCGCCTGTCTTGTTCAACCTGTGTCCCAGGTCTTAGCACCATGCCTGCTACCATTTAAGTGCTTATGTGAAGTTTGTTGTTGAGAAACTAATTACCTAAAAGTTAGAACTTGACCTCTTCCTTTTACCTAGGAGGCTGTGAGACTTAGAGGGTTACACAGCCAGCGAGTGGCAAAGCCTGGACTTGAACTCAGTTCTGCAGAAGGCAGAATGTGTTCCTTCTTGAACATTCAAGGAAAGGGGAGGTGAAACTCCAGCTAGCGGGCTGCCCGTGTGCTTGTTCTAGGGACACCCCAGGCCGATTCCTGGGAGCTGGGCCTTCATGGTGACACAGTAAGAAAAACTCACCTAGGCCGGGCGCGGTGGCTCAAGCCTGTAATCCCAGCACTTTGGGAGGCTGAGACGGGCGGATCCCGAGGTCAGGAGATCGAGACCATCCTGGCTAACATGGTGAAACCCCGTCTCTACTTAAAAAAAAATACAAAAACCTAGCCAGGCGAGGTGGCGGGTGCCTGTAGTCCCAGCTACTCAGGAGGCTGAGGCAGGAGAATGGCGTAAACCCGGGAGGCGGAGCTTGCAGTGAGCTGAGATCCGGCCAGTGCACTCCAGCCTGGGCGACAGAGCGAGACTCCGTCTCAAAAAAAAAAAAAAAAGAAAAAAGAAAAACTCACCTATTGGCCAGGCGTAGTGGCTTACGCCTGTAATCCCAGCACTTTGGGAGGCCGAGGTGGGTGGATCACTTGAGGTCAGGAGTTTGAGACCAGCCCGGCCAATATGGTGAAACCCCGTCTCTACTAAAAACACAAAAATTACCTGGGTGTGGTGGCTCATGCCTGTAATCCCAGCTACTCAGGAGGCTGAAGCAGGATAATCGCTTGAACCTGGTGGGGCAGAGGTTGCAGTGAGCCGAGATCGCAGCATTGCACTCCAGCCTGGGCAACAAAGTGAGACTCTGTCTCAAAAAACAAAACAAAACAAAACAAAAGAACTACTTACCTATATTGTGGATCAACTCTGTGTCCCCACTGTACCAAATCCTTATTTATTAAAAAAAAATTTGTTTTAATTATTACATTTATAGCAGCCCAGCTTGAAAAACGAAGCAACAGAAACATGTAGAAATTTACAAGGTCTCTACTTCAGTTGTAATGTCTCCAGTTCCATCATGGTATGTATATTCTTCTGGATTTTTTTCAATGTGTATACACGTGTACATACAGCCACACACACATACACTCGTATGTTTTCTATATCGATGGGACCATTACTCACATCTTTAATTTGAAACTTATTCTCTGCTGTCTCTGCCTGTGTCTGATAGAATGCTGGCAATGCTTTGTGATGCTTTAGGAGACACATTTGTCAGGTGTGAAGACTCAGGCTTAGGAATTGTTGGGTGGTGACTGAGGCTGGTCACTCTGTGGTCTGACGTACTTTCCTACCGCCCCACTCTGGGTAGGGGTGGAACGGCCCCTGCAGAGAAGCACCAGCTTCTGTTTCCCCATGAGTGACTCCCCTCCCTCCAATACTCACTAGAGGACATTCCATAAGCCAGGCTGTGTGATTTGGCCCCTGACATATTCCTGGTTGGATGAGAAATCTTGGGGAGACTCCAGATTTCTCAGGCACAAAACTCCCAGAGCAGAGAGCTCCCTCTGGACTATCCCTCCCTCCCTCAATTTCCTGTTCTGCTGCCTGGTCCAGGAATCAGGACCTTAGTGATAAACTTTGGCTTCTCCCAGGCTGCAGAGTCCTACTGGGGTGTGAGTCCTTGCTCATGGCTCATGAAAGTTCAACATCTGCTTATGGCTTCAATATTGGGCCAGATTTTGCTTCGAACTTCCCAAGGATGAATTGTGTGGTCCCACATGTTGGTGATCTCAGCATGAGCTTCAAAGGAACAAGAACTCATGTGCATTTTTGCGCAATCTGGGTGCCCTATCCCATGGCTGCCCTTGGAGGGTCTCCCTCTTCATTCATGTCTCTGCTAAAAGGTCACCTCCTCCTGGAAGCCCTCCCTGATTCTCTGATTTATTGGATTGTCTGATTTATTGGATCACTGCCTATCTCTTTATGTGTTGTGGTACCTTTGACAGCCGAGCACTCACTGTTGCATCCCCAGTGCCTGGAACAGTGCCTGGCACATAGTAGGTGCTCAAGAAACATATAGTTGCATGAACAGCCCTGAGAGGAATAGATTTTTCTTTTTATTTTATAACTGAAAGAAGCCCTGAGAATCAGAAAGGTTAAGGGGTTAACTCCCAGCATTCCTGCAAAGCCTGGAGCCAGGAATCTTGAAGCAAGGCTACTTAAACTTGAAGGATTGTATAGAAATCCCCTGGGGTTCTATTAAGATGCAATCCTGAGTCAGTATTTCTGGGTTGGGGCATGGGATTCTGCATTTCCTGCCAGCTGTCAAATGATGCTCATGGTGCAGGTCCGTGGACCACACTTTGAGTAACTGAACCTTACGGTTAAAGTGCATGTTGCCAGCTCCTTCTCTTCACCTCCTCTTTTTGAGGTTCTTTCCTCTGAAGATTCCTCCTCTGTCCCCCTCTAAAGCCCCTCATTCTGCATCCCATCTCCCAAATGCAATATCTGAGCCCACAGCAATTTGGGAGGCCAAGGTGGGCAGATCACGAGGTCAGGAGTTCGAGATCAGCCTGGCCAACATGGTGAAACCCCGTCTCTACTAAAGATACGAAAAATTAGCTGGGCGTGGTGATGGGCACCTGTAATCCCAGCTACTCAGGAGACTGAGGCAGGAGGATCATTTGAACCCGGGAAGCAGAGGTTACAGTGAGCCGAGATTGCGCCAATGCACTCCAGCCTGGGTGACAGGGCAAGACTCTGTCTCAAAAACAAAACAAAACAAAACAAAATAACCTGAGCCCAGGAAGGGCAGTACTGCCCATCGTCAAAGCAAGGACAGAGCAGAAGGAGGACTCCACTCAGGGTCCCCTGGCTCTGCCTTCCCCGTCTGGACCTTGTCTGCTCACAGCTTCTCCCAGCCTTACCCTTCATGGGCCCCCTCTGTCCTCCTACGCTGAGCCCAGCATCCAGGCTGCTTTTCCAGCTGGTCTCGTTATCTCCGGAATCTGACCCTGGGTAATCCCCAGTGGGGCTGCATTCTCTGTTCCTGCTTCTATCAGTCAGGTCTCAGCCTAGGTCCTGGGCTGCTGGGAGGCAGGACTTGAATTCCTGCCAGGCTGGCAGTGGAGGGCAACAGGCTTCTGCCTCTGAATCTCCTAAATCTCCACTGAGAAATGGTGCACAGCGTTCTCCTGGCCCACATTTGGAGGGGAACCCCAGGGGTTGTTTTGGGAGAAGGCTTGGCCTCACCCAGAGCACCTGGCACCCGAACACTTCATTCCTTTACCTACCTTCCCCTGGTCTTGGAAAAGCAGGGTGGCTGCAAATTTTGGGGCTCAGATCACCATTGGCTGCCCTCCAACTTACCCTCTGCCTTACATGAGAGGTGCTGAGGACTGAGTGGCCGTGCTGGGTCATCCTGAATTGGTTCTTCTACAGCTATGGTCCCCGCCAGTCCCGGGGTTTTGATTGGCTGCCCTGACACAAAGGAGGCATCCAGGCTGTGAGGATTGGCCAGCCCAGCCCAGACCAGCCCAGCCCAGCCCAGCCCAGCCTCCTACAGTGTTTCCTAGATCTGGGGCCAGGGGCAAAAACCTCCTAGCAAAGGAGGAGAGGAGGTTGTGCGGGACAAGCTTCTCCTGACAGAAGGTGCCAGGCTGGGGGTGGCAGGGCTGGATAGGGAGGGGCACTGCCCAAGACTGGGGTGGCTCCAGGGAGCTGGCCCTGGTGATGGGTGCTTGCAGGTAGCCAGAGGTAAGTTGGCTGGTGGTTCTAGATGAGGCTGTCTGGTCTCTAGTTTCCTTGATCTCGAATTTTGTGTCACTTCTCCTCTCCCCTCTCCCGTGGCCTCTTCCCCTGAGATTCCCTGAATCTCCCTCCATGCTCTTAACCATGTTTACCCATCATCGGTCCTGGAGCTCCCCAGCCCCTTTCTTAGGCCTCAGGACCTCACCCTCCATCCCCTCTGCCTTGCAGGATGTCACTGCTGAGCCTGTCCTGGCTGGGCCTCGGGCCGGTGGCAGCATCCCCATGGCTGCTCCTGCTCTTGGTCGGGGCCTCCTGGCTCCTGGCCTGCATCCTAATGTGGACCTACACCTTCTACGACAACTGCCGCCGCCTCCGGTGTTTCCCGCAGCCCCCAAAACAGAACTGGTTCTTGGGTCACCTGGGCCTGGTGAGTGGCAGGAAGATGGATCTGGTGTCTCAGGGTAGAAGGCTGGAAAGGGGCTCGGGCTGAGGGGGTGGGCTGGGGTCTGGGACGGAGAGAAACTCACTCATTTCTCTGCTCACTCACTCACTCATTCCACTCCTCCCTCACTCACTCTTCTATCCACTCACTCATTCCTCTCCTCCCTCACTCACTCCTCTATCCACTCACTATTCCTCTCCTCACTCACTCCTCTATTCACTCACTCATTCCTCTCCTCACTCATTCATTCCTCTCCTCACTCACTCATTCCTCTACCCACTCATTCGCTCATTCCTCTCCTCACTCACTCATTCCTCTATCCACTCATTCATTCCTCTCCTCACTCACTCATTCCTGTCCTCACACACTCGTTCCTCTCCTCACACACTCATTCCTCTCCTCATTCACTCATTCCTCTCCTCACTCACTCATTCCTCTAACCACTCACTCATTCCTCATTCACTCATTCACTCATTCCTCTCCTCACTCACTCATTCCTCCAACCACTCACTCATTCCTCTCCTCACTCACTCATTCCTCTACCCACTCACTCATTCCTCTCCTCATTCACTCATTCCTCTACCCACTCACTCATTCCTCTCCTCACTCACTCATTCCTCTCCTCCCTCACTCATTCCTCTCCCCGCTCAGTCATTCCTCTCCCCGCTCGCTCATTCCTCTCCTCACTCACTCATCCCTCTCCTCACTCACTCATTCCTCTGCTTTGCCATGCCAAGCCTTTCTCACCTCCTTGTCTAGGGGAAGCCACCCCTAGCGTGTTTTGAATTCTTTTCCTGACTGTTTTCAGTACGCTAGTGAACCTCTGATGGGTTTCTGTGGGAGAGTGGGGGTTACACGGCAGGGATTCACCAATATTTCCACAATCTCCACTGCTGTACTTGAGGCCTCTTGAGCTCACTGTCTAGAACCCACTTTCTGCCTGACCCATTTGCTTGTGTCCGCCCATCTCTGGGCTGCAGTTTTCCCACAGAAAGTAGCTATACACCCCCTGCCCTCACATCTTGACACAGCTGGGCCAGAAGAGAGAAGTGTGCCGTCTCCACCCTCCCCCTTGCAGGGGCATCTTCTTTCTCCCCACTAAGCTGTCCCCATGGGTTGTGTTGCCCAACCTGGATAAAATTTAGCCATTTACTTCCTCTTTAGAGTTATCTATGACCCTTCAGACCCTGCCCTTTCACTTAGACCTTCTGTCCCTTTTGGGGGATTTGGCATCAGTCTGTTCATTGGCAAACGGCAGGATTGATGAGTGTGTCCGCAGGTGCAGGGGGAGGGAGCACAGGACGGACTAGCTCTGAGCCCGATGTGCAGAAGGTGCCCCCTAGTGAGAGCTGCTGTTCTTCCTGACAGGCAGTTAGTGTCACCTCTTCTCCCCTGGGGGCTGCTGAGAAAGGAAGTTCCACAGTGTGCAGGCCCTTCTCCATGGGAGGACCTGGAGCCCCTGTGGCCCAGCCAGGACATAAAAGGATGTGGGGATCAGCCCTGGGGACCTGTCCTGAGGCCACATTGCTGCCCACACACCACCCTTGTGGAGCCCACCCCACATGACTATGCGTGGGCTGGAGCCACTCTCAGGATGAGAAAATCCATCCTCTTTATTCAAGGTGGACTTCTCCATGAACAGATAGTGTGTCTTCTCCCTCTTCCCTGGGATGTAGCGTTGGAACTTAGATACTGCCCCCAAGAGGAAGGAGCAGGAGGGAGTGGAGATTACCCCATGTGTGCAGAATCTGGACATGCTGTTCATTGCAGAGGCTGTGCCACCTCTGAATCCTGCAGTGGGACCTGCTGTGGCTCCTCCTGGGAAATGTATTTTTTTCTCCAGAGTAATAGAATTAATATGATATCAGTATCTACGTCTATCTATCTATCTATCTATCTATCTATCTATCTATCTATCCATCTACCTACCTATCTATCCATCCGTCCATCTGTCTATGATCTACCTAATCTATGGAGAGACAGAAGAGGGCACTTATTGTAGGAATTGACTTGTGTTCATGGAGGCTGAGAAGTCCCACTCTATGCCTTCCGCAAGGTGGAGAATCAGGGACACTGGTGTTGCAGTTCTGTCTGGGTCCAAAGCCCTGGGAACCTGGAGTTCTAATGTCCAAGGGTAGGAGAAGATGGATGTCTCAGCTGCAGAGGAGAAAACAAATTCACCCTTCCTCCACCTATATATTCTACCTGGACCCTCAACAGATTGGATGATGCCCACCCAGACTGGGAAGGGAAGATCTTCCTTCCCCAGTTTACCTTCAGATGCTAATCTCTCCTGAAACACCCTCACGGACATACCCAGAAATAATGTTTGACTGGATATCTGGGCATCCCTTAACCCAGTCAAGTGGACACCTACAATTAACCATCACAGGAGGTGACGGCCCTTGCCTTGCTTGCAGGTGACCCCTACGGAGGAGGGCTTGAGGGTCCTGACCCAGTTGGTGGCCACCTACCCCCAGGGCTTTGTGAAGTGGATGGGCCCCATTTTTCCCGTCATCAACTTGTACCACCCCGACACCATCCGATCTGTCATCAATACCTCAGGTACTCCTGCAGAACTTGTGGTGGTGGGCACAGGAGAATGTCGGAGGGCTTCTAGATCTCCTCATCCCCAAAGCTTCTGTGCAGCCCCTGTAGTACTCAGCCCCTTCCTTCCTGCTTCTCTCTCAGCCACCTTCCTCTTTCCTTCCTGGATTCACCAACCCTAACCCCAGTGTCTCTTCTCTCTGCCGCCATCTTCCTCACCTCCCTGTTGTTCTGGGAACCACTGGGGCCCCGAGAAGCCTTAATCCAAGACCCTGTCCTGGAGGAACCCCCAAACTTGAAGAGATGGATCGGTACAGAGACTTCATAGGGTTAGAAATGGGCCAGGAGGAGACGGGCTGTGACAGATCAGAGGAGAACAAGGTTTCTACTGGGGCATGCTAGAAGACTTCCTGGAGGAGGAGTAGCAGGAGCTGGGTCTGGAATGATGAGTGATAATTTCTTTTTAAGCAGAGGCAGGGTGATGCAGTGGGCATTGTTAGTATTCAAGGCTTCTGGCCAGGCCTGGCATTGGCCTTGTCCTTCTGCAGGCCCAGAGCAATGAGAAGGAGTTGTGGTTGGTGGAAGATCTGGGCTGCTATTTCCATGACATTCACCTCTTGTAGGTCGATTCCTTCTAACCCCATCCTGTGGCACTTCCACCGTATGCTCATTGCCCTCCTGCTCCAGGCCCCAGGAATCTCCAGTAGGAGACCCCACCCCAGCCCGGAGCCCTACCCTTGCCCTCTGCCCTTCCCATCTTTGGACAGGCCAGGATGAGCAGCAGAAGGGGTATCACCCCACAGAGACCATGGCTGAGGCCCCAAAATGCTGAGTGACTCTGGGCAGGTCTACGGCTCTCTCTGGCCGCTGAGGTATCTTTTCATTGTGAGTGGTAGGAACTCAACCCCATGAAGTCTAAGCCATTAAAGAGAACCTACTGACTGCAAAGTCCAGGGAGGATGGCCTTCAGGCACAACTGGATCCAGGTCTCACCTAGTATCATCAGAATTCTGTCTTCAACTCTTATTCTGTAAAGGTGTTTTCTAGAGTATTGACTTATGCTTGGGTGTTGCAGAACATGTTGGACCATGTAGGAGCCATGTCAAGGCATGCTTAGCATGCTGTACCATGTTAGGGTGTATCATTGCTCTATAGTGCTATTGCAGCCTAGTCCAGCCTTCTTTATGTCCCCCACCCTCCTTTCTTCGTCTGCCCATGGCCTCCTTCCTGCTATGCTGGGCTTGGAGAAAAGAAGTCCCAACCTCTGTCTGGGAGCCACCCTCCATACCTAAAGTCCCTCCTCTATCCTCTCCATGGATCCTGATGGTCTTCATTCATGTCAGATGCCATTACAGACAAGGACGTAGTCTTCTATAAGATGCTGAAGCCCTGGCTGGGTAAGTAACTGTAGGTGGACGGGATGGGGACCAACTTTTGTGCCCAGGAGAAGGTTCTGCCTTTGCCCACAGCCCTTGGCTGCCCTACTAGGGGATGGGCTCTTGTTAAGTGCTGGTGACAAGTGGAGACACCACCGTCGCATGCTGACACCTGCCTTCCGTTTCAACATCCTGAAGCCCTATATAAAGATTTTCAACAAGAGTACGAACATCATGCATGTGAGTGCTTTGAACTCAGGGTCCCAGCTGTAGCCTTGGGGTGGGGGGAACACGTACAGATTGGGTCTGGACTGTTGGCTCTCCTGGGTGGGTTTGGGGCCATTGCTCTTCCTCTCTGTGCCTTGATTTCCCCATGAGGCTAATAATCTTTACTAAAAAGTGGTAGGAGCATGTGATGGACTCATGTCTCCGACACTTAGTAGGTGGTCAAAAGGAGTCAATTTCCACATTTTTCTCACAGAAGCCCTGTAAACTCAAGAAAGGAAGGATGACACTTGCATAGTAGTCATTGCTGAGTACAGATCACTTCAAAACTAATTGGTTTAGAGCAATAAGGGTTTATATTTGCTAACAAGTCTGTGGGACAGTTGGCCAGCCCTTCTGCATGTGGATGGAATCCCTCAAGGTATAAGAGCAGCTGTGGGGCAGGTAGGCAGCTTTGCTTGTACCAGCTCAGTTCTCTCACATGTTTGGAGCTTTGCTGGCTTCTGGCTGATTTAGGATGGCCTCAGCTGGGACACCTGGACTTCTCTCCATGTGATTCTCTGCCTCTAGATGACGCCCCAGGATTGCTCACATGGCAGAGACAGGATTCCAAGGCAGTGAGAGGAGGATGCAATGCTTCTCATTAGTTATTATTATTTATTTTATTTTTGAGGTGAAGTCTTGCTTTGTCTCCCAGGCTGGAGTGCAGTGGTGTGATCTTGGCTCTCTGCAACCCCTGCCTAAAGCAATTCTCCTGCCTCAGTCTCCCAGGTAGATGGAATTACCGGTGCCCACCACTACGCCCAGCTAATTGTTTGTATTTTTAGTAGAGACAGGGTTTCACCATGTTGGGCAGGCTAGTGTCGAACTCCTGACCTCAAGTGATCTGCCCTCCTTGGCCTCCCAAAGTGCTGGAATTACAGGCATGAGCCGCTGCACCCAGCCAACTTCTCACTAGTTATGGCCTTATCATTTTTGCCACATTCTATTGGCCAAAACAAATAAATAAATAAATAAAACATCCATCATGAATCAATGTGGGGCAAAATAGACTCCATCTCTTAATGGAAGTAGCTAAAAAATCACATTGCAAAAGATGTGGATGTGGGGAGAAGGGAAGAAATGGAGCCAAGTGTTTTGTAAAATAACTAGGATTTTCTTTTTCTCCTGTGAGTTGATAAATTAGCTTGTTACTTTTGCATGGATTCTGCCAGAAGACACGAAACTTCTGGGTCAAACACAAAAGTTTATTACGCATGTCTCAGCAAGTGGCACGTGCATCTTCTTGTTTTGGATCCTTTCTCTAAGCCACTCAGATTGCCTGGGGTGATAAGGTGGGCTTCCATAGATGCCTGCCATGTAGTATACTGCATGATGGGCAGGAGCATTAGGCTTAGGGAATCTGCTTTTAGAGCAAGCAGAATAAGCCTATGTGTGTCCCAGAGGAGCCATTACCTTATACCCCAAGGTTGTTCTCTGCAAACACAAGACTGAGAAATAGCCCAGATTAAGAACCTCAGGGTTGACCAGGTATGGGGGCTCATGCCTGTAATCCCAGCACATTGGGATCACTTGAGGTCGGAGTTCGAGACCAGCCTGGCCCAACATGGTGAAACCCTGTCTCTACTATACAATACAAAAATTAGCCAGGCGTGGTGGTGCGTGCCTGTAACCCCAGCTACTCAGAAGGCTGAGACAGGAGAATTTCTCAAACCCGGCAGGTAGAGGTTGTAGTGAGCCAAGATTGTGCGGCTGCACTCCAGCCTGGGCAACAGAATGAGACTCCATCTCAAAAACAAACAAACAAACAAACAAACAACAACAACAAAACTTCAGGATTTTGCATTCTTGGCATGCTCAGAAAAAAGTGCTCAGGGGGATCACAGGGACTTTTTTTGTAATCAATTTATAACAATGAAGATGACTCAAGCTAATATTTGTTGAGAACTCATCATATGACAGAAATGATGTAATATGCCCATTCCATGGTATATGTGGTATCATTTAATTTTCACAGCCCTGTGAGGTAGAGGATATTTTCTACCCCACCCCCCCCACCCACCACCATGACAAATGGTGAAACTGAGGGCCAGAGAGGTTAGGGAGATTTCCCAAGTTCACCCAGCTTGTCAGTGAGTCTAAGAGAGGGGGAGAAGGGGTTCTAGCCTGGCTCCCTGGCATCAAACCAGGTCATCTTGATTGCTATTGAGGATTTGGCAGGTGAGACCTAGAAGAGGGCTATGAGTTGACCAAGGGTACACACAGCTTAGGAATCACAGCTGGGGCTTGAACCCAGACATGGGATCTTCATCTCCTAATAATAACAGCTTCCACTCTCAGCCAAGCCTAGTCCTCCCCGGGGATGGGCGTCTGGGACAGAAAACCAGGAGCCTGCCTCTGTGGGAGTCCATCCTGGTGGCTGGGGTTGCAGGGGGACTCAGAGGAGCCAGGGCCTGGCCCCAGCCCTGTCCCCTTCTCTGGCCAGGCCAAATGGCAACGCCTGGCCCTGGAGGGCAGCACCCGTCTGGACATGTTTGAGCACATCAGCCTTATGGCCCTGGACAGTCTGCAGAAATGCATCTTCAGCATTGACAGCCATTGTCAGGAGTGAGTTCTTGCCCCACGGCCTGGGAACATGGGATGGATTCGGGAGCAGGGGAAGGTGGGGAGAGCAAAGCCCAAGGAGACAAGAAGAGCCTTCCTGGAGAGATGATGAGAACTGGGCATTGAAGGACAAAGAAGGAGAGAAGGAGAGAGAGAGAGAGAGAGAGAGCGCGAGATAAAGAGAAGATTCCTCCAAACAAGTGGAACTGTTTGGGTCAAGGCAAGGAGGCTAAGATGAGCAGAGCATGTGCAACAGGGAGTTGGGAGACACTTGGAAATGAGGGTGGAGGGGTTGGCAGTAACTAGATCTTAAGGATCTTGAAAAGTCAGACAAAGGGGGATTAATTTTGTCCAAGGTTCCCAGGGAGCCATGGGAGGTGTTTGAGCAGATGAGCGTCATGGTCAGTACTGAGCTGGGACATTGGACTCTGGGACTCTATGGAAGGTTGACTATTGTGTAGATGCAGCATGCAAGGAGGCCAGGGAGAGCAGGTCTGAGTTTGGTGGAGAGAATGGGGCAGATTTGGGAGAAACTGAGGAATAATAGGCAAGAGCAGATGTTTTGTAAGAGAGAGAGGAGATGCCCATGATGGCCAAGCTGTGCCCTGAGGATCCGGGGCAGGAGGCAGCTCACAGAATGGGAGGCAGAGAGTGAAGTGTGCTTGCAGGGCACCCCTTTCTGCATGGAACGTGGTCCTGGGATTCTGGCTGGAAGGTGCTTCCAGGCTTTCATGTGTGTAAGGAGTTGCTTCCTCTCTCTGAACTGGCTCTGCAGGAAGCCCAGTGAATATATTGCCGCGATCATGGAGATCAGTGCCCTTATAGTGAAACGGAATCACAAGTTCTTCCTGTACAAGGACTTCCTGTACTTCCTCACTCCCTGTGGACGACGCTTCCTCAGGGCCTGCCGACTGGTGCACGACTTCACAGATGCCGTCATCCAGGAGCGGCGCCGCACCCTCCCTAGCCAGGGTGTTGATGACTTCCTGCAGGCCAAGGCCAAATCCAAGACTTTGGATTTCATCGATGTGCTCCTGCTGAGCAAGGTGGGCTTCTCTGGGATCTGAATTCAAGAGGTAAAATGGAGCTTCAGGTCAAATGTCAGACTGAAGGACTGAACTTGATCCAGAAGGCACTAAGGAGCCATGGAAGGTGTTTGAGGAAGGGAGGGACAAGTCAGATAAGTTTTAGAGGTGATTGCATAGAAAGCTGCATGGGAAGAACAAACAGGAGGCCGGGAGGAAGCCTGTGGGGGTAGATCTGGAAGTGACAAGGGAGGGATTTTTCTGGGATAATGGGTCTTCAGGGACTGTTTCAGTTTAGACTCCAGTGACCCCAGAGCTAGTGTGATTGGGGTTCTTTTCTCCAGGATAAAAATGGGAAAGAGTTGTCAGATGAGGACATAAGAGCAGAAGCTGACACTTTCATGTTTGGAGGTGAGTGTCTCAGTCTGGGACTAACTACAGTGGCAACAGGGGGTCTCTCCACTTCAGGGAAGTGGAGGGCCGGCCCTGAATCACTTCATTCTGCCCAACCTCCCCCTCCCCTCAACCTTCCTGAGAGCCTTAATGTATGGGAGTTGTCCACCCTCTGGGTGCTGAAGCAGTCCAGAGATTCAAGCCTGCCTGGTTGACCCTCAGGCCATGACACTACGGCCAGTGGCCTCTCCTGGGTCTTGTACAACCTCGCGAGGCACCCAGAATACCAAGAACGCTGCCGGCAGGAGGTACAAGAGCTTCTGAAGGACCGTGAGCCTAAAGAGATTGAATGGTGAGTGTAGGTGCTGGTGGCTGTTTCTGAGTCCCTCTCGTTGGTTCTTCTCCCCAGGTGGGGGAAATGGGGAGAATCTTTTTGATGATTCTGCCATTGTTACCTAGTGGGAATAGGCGTAGAGCCCAGAAACAGAGCTCTACTAATCTACCTAGCGGGGGCTAGCAAGGGTAACATTGCATGCTTTGGGGACAGAATGGTCTGGGAGTCCATATTTATTTCCCCACTAACTTGCTATGCACCATTAGTAAAATCAATTCCCTTTTCTGAACAACTTTTCTCCTTTGTAAATTGGGAGTGTGGGGGAATTGCTGTCCCACAGGGCTGCTTGGAGAATTAGTGGCAAAAACTGCAATGACTTTTGGACCAATCTAATATTATGATTTATCAAAACATTATCTTATCAATGCATGTTTGTATACTTTCCAGCCTTTTGGTATGAAAGACATGATGTGTTGAATATCGGTGTGCCATGATCATTGCTGACATGTCATCTTTGTAGAACAAATTCCTAGAAGTGCAATTGCTGAGGCAAAGACCATTTGAGTTTTACAATTCAATAGCTCTTGGGAAATCTACTCCTACACACAGATTTTGAGAATACCAAACTTCCTCATAACCTCATCAGAAGTGCCTATTATGAAACTAAAACATTTGCCAATCTGTTAGGTGCAATGTAATATTTTATTATTTTAATGAACATAATTTTAAATATGGGTAAAGTCGAGCACTGTTTTCACCTGCTAATGAGCCATCCATATCTCTTTTTCTGTGAAGTGTCAGTTTTTACATGATTTGTTTTTCCTACTTTGGGTCATACTAGTTTTCTTATTTATTTATAAAAACTCTTTACATATTAAGAACATTATTTCTTTTTTCCCTTATGCAAAATTTTTCCTCGCATTGTCTTGGACTTTATTTTTATTTTTGGTTCATTTATTTGTCACCAAATTTATTAATTTTTTTCTTTTATAATTCCTGTTTGTGTTTCTTAAAAAATTATTTAAAAAACCCTTTTATACTCTAATAGTAAAATGCAAAACTCTTGTTTGGCTTATTCTAATAGGCTTATGTATTTTTTAAAGTTTATTTATTTAACATTTTATCAATATTTTTCACATTTAGAAATTTTTCCCTTTGAAATCTATGTTGGAATCTATTTTTTCTCCAAATGTCTAATTGTCCCAACCAAGTTTAATGAATATTTTGTCCTTGTGTCATGATTCTAAATAACAACGAATTCACAAGAAACTATATATACACATATATATACATATGTATATACATATATATACATATATATGTGTGTATATATATATATGGTTTTATTTGTTGCCTTCATTTTGTTCTATTTATTATATAGTCCTACATGAGCAGCATGAAGTCTACTTTTAAAAACACTTGCATATTTGGTAGAATTTCTGTCTCATTACTTTCATATTTGGTAGAGTTTCTGTCTGTCTCATTTCTTTGCGTTTACAGTTTTTTTTTTTTCCCTCGAATTCTACTTTTTCCATTTGAACTCTGTGATCAGGCTAGCTAATTTGACAAATACTTTTGAAAATTTTAATTAATAAATTTTTTGGACGTTAGGTGCTAATGTTTGAGTTAACGATGTCCCTCAGTTCATGGCAAATTCTCATCATTTTTCTATGCAGTACGTATTTCTTCCCATTTATCTCGAATCTCTACTTTCAGCTCTCCAGCAATATGATTACAAAATGATGGATACTTTTATTTGTAAAATTTGTTGTTGGGGTGGATACATTTGAAAATTCTATATATGTTTTTATTTCACAGATGTGCTGGTTCTTACCTTTTCAGAAATATAGCACTATGATTCGTGCTACGTTTATAGCACCCATGGTTTTGTGCTATGATTTGTGCTATGTAAATGTAGCACTATGATTTGCAGCACCCTCGTCCTAAGTATAGTTATCCTCTTGCTTTTAGCTGTGATCTAGTCCTTTTCTCTTCAGTTCTGTAGTGGATACCTGGACTGCTTCTACATCTCCAGTGCAATGACCATCTTTGTGCATATCTCTTTATCTGCATGTCTGATAATTTCTCTGGGATCTACAGTTGGGAACCAGCTTGCTGGGCTGTAAAACACACATCTTTCCTTGGCCATGTCCTGGTGGTTGCCTTTCATGTTGGCAGCTTCTGTGCACCCCACTATCAGTGCATGTGACCCCTCTACCCACACCTCAACCAACCTTGGCAACATCTACCTTTGGCCATTCTAGCCTCGAATAGATGTGAAGTGGTATCTCATTGTCAGCTAGCTTCCATTTCTATGATAGCTAGTGACTCTGAGCATCTCCTCTTAAATTTCTCATGTTTGAGCATTGTCTACTTTTTCACTTGGGTCACCCGTTTGTTCTCTTGCAGATTTGCAGGAATTCCTGAAGTATTCAAGATGTCGTTCTGCATATCTATCTGTCTATCTATCTATCTATCTATCTATCTATCTACCTATCTACCTACCTATCTTAGGCATCTTCTCTGAATCTCTTAGCTCTCATTGGAATGTTAATTGGGTCCACTGTATCTTTTATTGCACAGAAATCCTTAATTTGCATGCATATTTATCGTTTATATTTTATCTTGTTTAAGCTTTTGGGGTTTTAAGAATTCCTACTCCTAAGTCACAAAAATGTCTCCTGTGTTATCATCTTTTAACGTTATAATTTTACCTTTCTCATAAAGGAAAAGACTCCACCCTGTATATGTAGTAGACAAGAACCTGTTTCTCTTTGTTCACACATTTCCGGTGGTCTGAACAACTTCCACCACACTATCCATTCTCCAGGGGCGTGTGGACCTTCCTTTAGCAGATGTTAAGTTTCCCCCTATTCACATGCCTGATTCTGAGCTCTCTAGTCTGTTCTATGGACCTGTTTTTCTGTTCTTGCAGCAGTCCCACAGTTTTTAAAAAATTATTTTATTTTTATTAGTATGCATTTGTAACATTTCTTAATATCTTGAAACTTGGGTTCCCCTTCTTCAATCTTTTATTTAAAAATTGACCTAGCTTGGGCAGGGCGTGGTGGCTCACGCCTGTAATCTCAGCACTTTGGGAGGCTGAGGTGGGCAGATCACTTGAGGTCAGGAGTTCGAGACCAGCCTGGTCAATATGGTGAAACCCCATCTGCACTAAAAATACAAAAATTAGTTGGGTGTGGTGGTGCACACCTGTAATCCCAGCTGCTTGGGAGGCTGAGGCACAATAATCTCTTGAACCCAGGAGACGGAGGTTGCAGTGAGCTGAGATCAGGCCACTGCACTCCAGCCTGGGTGACAGAGTGAGAACCCATCTCAAAAAAAAAAAAAAAAAAAAAAAAAAAAAATTGACCTAGCTCTTGATGAACTTTAAAATTCTTTCAATTAGAATAAGATTTCAAAGTTCCCAAAACAATCTAGCTAGATTTTTAATTAATTGCATGAAGTATATTGATTAATTTAGAAAGAATTGACACCTTTAGAAAAAACAGACACCAGGGAACGTCTGTAGAATCAGCATCTTCTCAATCCATCACAACCCCTCAGTCTGGCCAGATCCTGAGGTGCTGCCCCTCCCTGCTTCTCCATCCCCAGGGTCTGGTCAGGGGAGGGGTCTTGTCCCTTTACAACATGTGGTCATCCCACCCTACAGTGTGGAGTGGAGATTATTTATTCAAGTAACCTTATTAGCCCTTTGTAGAGATGTTTTTTTTTTCCTGCTTTTGTTACCTCTTTATAAAATTTTAAATGCTTTTTCATGCAAACAAATGAACACTTTTGTTCTGCCTCCTAGACTGGAGTGCAGTAGCATGATCTTGGCTCACTGTAACCTCTGCCTCTCGGGTTCAAGGGATTCTCCTGCCTCAGCTTCCTGAGTAGCTGGGACTACAGGTGCCCACCACCATGCCTGGCTAAGTTTGTATTTTTAGTAGAGATGGGATTTCACCATGTTGTTCAGGCTGGTGTTGAACTCCTGACCTCAAGTGATCCATCTGCCTCAGGCTTCCAAAGTGCTGGGATTACAGGAGTGAGCCCCGCCAGAATGAGCACTTTTAAGAGACACCCTCTGAATATTGTTTTGCTCAGAAATACCTCTAAAAACACCAGGTCAATTTTTCTTCTAGTAGTTTTGTGACTTTGGTTTTCTAATGCCTACATCTTTGTTGCTTCTGGAATTAATTTTGTTATAAGACTGAGGGTCAGAGGGAGGTGGTGAGAGGGTCTCCAGGGGCAGCAGGAGGGCTGTGTTTGCTCCCTGGATAATTGTTGGGTGTTTCCTTAGGGACGACCTGGCCCAGTTGCCCTTCCTGACCATGTGCCTGAAGGAAAGCCTGCGGTTGTATCCCCCAGTCCCCACAATCACCCGTGGCTGCACCCAGGACGTGGTGCTCCCAGACAGCCGGGTCATCCCCAAAGGTGCCCACCATGGCAGGGGAGGAGGGTCCTTGGCAGGGCGGTGGTCCCAGCAGGCAGCTTGGACCTTGTCCTGACTGTCATCTCCTGCATGACAGGGAACATCTGTAGCATCAACATCTTCGCAATGCATCACAACCCCTCAGTCTGGCCAGACCCTGAGGTGCTGCTCTTCCCTGCCTCTCCATCCCTGGGGCCTGGTCAAGGGAGGGGTCTTGTCCCGGAAAATCAGATACTCTCTCTCTGTTCCACCCATATCTGTCTTATGTGGGGGTGGCTGGGTGTCCTGAGAAGCCCCACCAGCAGCCCTAACTTGCCTCCAACCCAGGTCTATGACCCCTTCCGCTTCGACCCAGAAAACATCCAGAAGAGGTCACCTATGGCTTTTATTCCTTTCTCAGCAGGGCCCAGGTGAGGCCAGGGGGTGTCTGAGGTGGGCATGGGCTGAGGGTGGCACACATGGCTGCCTTGTCAGATGCCTGACTTGTGGGACCACGTGTTTTTGTGATAGGGATTTTAAAGAAGATCCTAGGAAAAAGGGTGTGCTCAGAGCCTCCTGCCCCATCTGGTCTTATTTGGGGCTGGGGTCTGGGCTAGGCTCTGGGAATATGCAAGCCCACATGGGGGTCCCAGGCACAGTTTCCCCCCTGTCTGCCCCTCAAGGTGATCTGGGTGGGGTTGGGGATCCTGGGCCTGGTTTCTGGCACAGTGGGGCCGGGATCTGGGTCCTGGGCACAGTCAGACCCCCCATCCTGGCCCCTAGGAACTGCATCGGGCAGTCGTTCGCGATGGCAGAGATTAAGGTGGTCCTGGCGCTCACACTGCTGCGCTTCCGCATCCTGCCTGACCACAGGGAGCCACGCAGGACGCCGGAGATTATTTTGCGTGCAGAGGATGGACTTTGGTTGCGAGTAGAGCCCCTGGGCTGAGGTCTGCAGTGACCCACCCACCTACCTTTGCATCACCTATCTTTGCAGCAACTATCTTTTCAGATTCCTGAGAATAAATCTGTGTGGGTCCCTGTGCCTGAGTCCCGTGGAGAGCCAGTAGGGGGCGCTTGAGGACTGCAGGGATCCAGGACCTGGTTGGGAAGAGGTGGGGAGATGTCTCTGAGCCCAAGACCTTGACTGCCTCTCTGGGTGGCCACAGGAACCCCGTGCTGAGGGCGGGTTCTCCAAGAGCCTAAATAAAGACTCCCCCCACCCCCACCAAATAATTGTGTATTCTGATATAACTTTTTGCCAATTTAGAATCCCTGTTTTTTAGCTAGGTCCATAGCAGCCTGAAATACAGATCACATTTGAAAGCCTTTCTTGAAGCTCAATTTGTTAAGTGACTGTGGCTGTCCCAGGTAGAGAAGCCAAAGATTATGTGGTAATTCTGGTAACCTTTCTTAAGAGAAAGCTGCAACAGTCTCTCTGCTCAGTCCTCCCTTCTTCCTTCCTTCCTTGCAAGTTTTTTTTTTTTTTTTCTTTGAGACAGGTTCTCACTTGTCGCCCAGGCCAGAGTGCAGTGGCTCACTGCAACCTCCACCTCCTGGGTTCAAGTGGTTCTCCTGACTCAGTCGCCCGAGTAGATAGGATAACAGGTGTCTACCACCACACCCGGCTAATTGTATTTTTAATAGAGACGGGGTTTTCCTGTGTTGGCCAGGCTGGTCTCAAACTCCTGGCCTCAAGTGATCAGCCCACCTCAGCCTCCCAAAGTGCTGAAATTGTAGGTGTGAGAAAAAAAATTCTCGAGTTTCAATTTTTATTTTAGAATCAGGAGCTAACGTACAAATTTATTACAAAGGTATATCACATGATGCTGAGGTTTAGAGTATGAATGATTCCGTCACCCATGTAGCGAGCATACTATCTAATAGGTAGTTTTTCAGCTTTTCCCCCTCCCTGCTTCCCCTGTCTAGTAGTCCCCAGGGTCTGTTGTTCCTATCTTTATTACCATGTGTACCCAATGCATAGCTCCCACTTATAAGTGAGAACATGCAATATTTTGTTTTCTGTTCCTGCATTAGTTTGCTTAGGATAATGGCCCCAACCTGCATCTATGTTGCTGCAAAGGACATGATTTTGTACTTTTTAATGACTGCATAGTATTTCATGGTGTATTTCTACACATTTTCTTTATCCACTCCACCATTGATGGGCGCCTGTGTTGATTCAACATCTTCGCCATTGTGATTAGAGCTACGATAAACATGTGGGTGCATGTGTCTTTTTGGCAGAATGATTTATTTTCCTTTGGGTATATACCCAGTTGTGGGATTGCTAGGTCAAATGGTAGTTCAACTCTCAGTTCTTTGAGAAATCTCCTAACTGTTCTCCACACTCCATTAGTTTAGTGGCTGAACTAATCTATATTCCCTCCAACAGTGTATAAGTGTTCCTTTTTATCCATAGCCTTGGCAACATCTGCTATTTTTGACTTTTTAACAAATTGCTTGCAAGATTGATGTGGCATCTGGAGTTCCATATTGGCCCATGAGGACAGGGACTGCTATTTAGGACAGATGGGGCAGATGGCTAGAAGCAGTCAGGGTCGATGACCCTAGATCCATGCTGTGACCTGGATGTTTATATAGCCCCCAGATCCATACATTGAAGCCTAGTCTGCATGTGGTGGTATTAAGAGGGGAGTCCTCTGGGGGGTGGTTAAGTTGTGAGGACTCTGCCTTCATAAGTGGGATTATCACTTACGTAGATCCGTATAACACAGACCTGAGGGAGCTTGTTTGCCCCTTCCACCATGTAAAGACACATGCAGGGTGCCATCTATGAGGAACAGGCCCTTAGCTGACGCTGAACCTTCAGGCACCTTGATCTTGGACTTCCCAGCCTCCACAATTGTGAGCAATAAATACCTGTTGTTTATAAACTACCTAGTGTAAGTTATGTTGTCATAGCAGCCAGAATGGGCTAAGATAATCCGTATCACCTTGGAATTGTACTAAACATCACCTTGAAGTTGTATTACGAATGTCAGAATCCCAATCTGCTATTCACTAGCTGATTGGCTTGGGGAAAACTTGTTTATCTCTGCAGCCATGGTTTTGTTTACCATTTAATAGTATTCACCTCATTGGGCTGCTGTGAAGACTGAACAAGTCGGTATCTACAACATCCCTGAGTCACATCTGTTGGGTATTAGTGGTCCATGAGGGTTAATTGACTCTCTTTCTCTTCTTTTTGTATCACATTTGAAGTTTTGACATTTTAAAAAATCACAAGAGGTAGCTTTAAGACTTGGGATGCATAGCATCCTTCTTTTGAGGAAAATTCATTCAAATATTTTGTGTGCTCAAAATATCGGTTATTACATCCAAGAATCTACAGTGGACTTTGGTGAAAGGTTGGCCAGAAGCTTAGAACGGAAAAAAATAATTTTTCCAGAGAGGCACGACCAGGAATTTATTCTTGTCTAAAAAGTGCAGGTCACACAGGTTTTCAGTAGCGAGAGGAAGGTAGAGGGAGTGGGCTAGGGGCCGCCCCTTTCAACACCAAGGACAGCGGCCGCGTCAGTACTTCCCCCTGTCTGACTGTAGGGGGCTCCCGCGGGGCACAGAGTCCAAGGACTGAACGCCTTTCAGGGGCCAACAGATTGGGAACCTGGAAGGATTATTGGATGCAAAATAAGAATGGAACATCGCAAAATGAAATAAATAACTATTTAATATATTCCAAGCTGAAAGTCACTTTTGTTTTTCTTCCCTTTTAAAGTTTAAGTTTCATAAATAATGCATGCTTATAGAAGAAATTGCAAGAAATAAAAATCATCCATAATTTCAAAATGTCAAAATAATCACTGTTTGCATTTTCTTACATATGCTTCCAGTTTTTAATTTATATGTGATCTTTTTACATAGGAAAATATTTATTTACATCTATATAGCTGTACCTCATTTGCATGTACTTTTGTTTACAAATGCTATTTTTCTACCAAATGAGCCCATGAAAAGATGCTAGACATTGTTCCCATTATGCAAACCAAAAGCACAATGTGATGTCACCTCAATACGTACAGGATGGCTAGCATCTAAAAAGGGGAATATAGCCAGTGTTGGAGAGGATGTGGAGTAATTGAAGCCCTCATTCATTCCTGGTGTGACTGTAAAATGGTGCAGCTGCTGTGGAAAGCAGTCTGGACATTCATGAAAAAGTGAAACATAGAATTACTATATGACCCAATTCCAAGACACCATATTCCGCTCCTAGGTGTATACTCAAAAGAATAGAAAACAGTTGTTCAAACAAAAAAGCTTGTACATGCATGCTTATAGCAGCCCTATTCACAATTGCCAAAAGGTAGAAAGAACTCAAATATCCATTAACAGATGGATGGATGAGGAAAATGTGATCTATTCGTACAATGAAATATTACTCAGCCATAAAAAGGAATGAAGTATGGATACATACTACCACCTGGATGAACCTGGAATACATTATAGTATGTTTAAGAGGTCAGATACAAAAGGTCACACAGTGTACGATGTATTTATAAGAAATGTCCATCTGGGTGCAATGGCTCATGCCTATAATTCCAGCACTTTGGGAGGCCCAGGCAGGCAGATCACTTGAGGTCAGGAGTTCAAGAGCAGCCCTGCCAAGATGGTGAAACCCTGTCGCTACTAAAAATACAAGAAAAATTAGATAGGCATCATGGGATATGCCTGTAATCCCAGTTACTTGGGAGGCTGAGGCAGGAGAATCACTTGAACCCAGGAAGCGGAGGTTGTGCTGAGCTGAGATCATGCCGTCACGCTACTGCACTCCAGTCTGGGCAACAGAGTGAGACTCTGTCTCAAAAAAAAAAAGTCCAGAATAGGAAAATCTATACAGACAGAAAGGAGATTGGTGGTGTCAGGAGCTGTGGGGAAGTGGGAATAGGAAATGCTAATGGGGTCAGGATTTCTTCTTGGGTGATGAAGATGTTCTGGACCTAGATAGTGGTGAAGTTTCCACAATGTTGTGAATATACTAAATGCTACTAAATTGCACACTTTAAAATGGTGAATTTTATGTTATATAAATTTTACCCAAACAAAAAATGCTATTTTATCTCAAATTTTTATTAATCTGGGCTACTCACACAATATGCTATTAACATCTTTCCATGACATCAAATAATTTTATGAAACATTATTTTGTGATTTAAAAAAATATTTTGGTTATGTATTCAAACCACTCTATTTCTTAAAAATGGCATGATGTTACAAAATGATATAGAAGTGCTTTGTCTCACTTTGCAAGAATTGTCTTCATACAAGTTTGACAGTTTGAGGTATCATCAGTTATAAATTGAGTAACTCTTCATCAAATAACTTTTGGGGTAAAGATTTCATTTTCAGAGCAATAGATAACTATTTTTTGTCTTTCTACTCAATATATGGGTAGTTTACATACCACAGTTACAGTGTTTTAGTATTCTGTGTTTGTCTATGTACTTACTATTACAGTGAGTTTTGTACCTTCAGATGATTTCTTATTGCTTGTTAACATTCTTTTCTTTCAGATTGAGGAACTCCCTTTAGCATTTCTTTTAAGACAGGTCTGCAGATTCCTTAGTTTTTGTGTGTCTGGTAAAATCTTTATTTCTCCTTCATGTTTGAAGAATATTTTTTCTGGAAATACTATTCTAGGTTAAAAGTTATTCCCTTTAGCACTTTAAATATGTCATGCCACTCTCTCGGCATATAAGGTTTCCACTGAGAAGTCTTCTGCCAGACATATTGGAGCTCCTTTGTATGTTATTTGCTTTTTTTCTCTCGTTGATTTTAGGATCCTTTATCCTTGGCCTTTGGGAGTTTAATTATTAATCTTCTTATTCTTTCTTTCTTTCTTTTTTTTTTTTTTTTGAGACAGGATCTGGCTGTGTTACTCAGGCTGTAGTGCAGTGGCACGATCTCAGCTCACTGCAACCTCTGCCCCCTGGGCTTAAGCCATCCTTCAACCTCAGTCTCCCAAGTAGCTGGGACTACAGATGCACACCACCATGCTCGGCAAATATATATATTATATATATTATATATGTATAATATATATATAGATAATGTGTGTGTGTGTATATATATGGTAGATATGGGATTTTGCCATGTTGCCCAGGCTAGTCTCAAACTCCTGGGCTCAAGCAATCCACCTGCCTTGGCAATCCAAAGTGCTGA